CCACTGACTCCCACAGCTACCTGGACTATACATCCTCACACCCCACTTCCTGTAAAGACTCCATCCCATTCTCTCAGTTCCTCTGTCTCTGTCGCATATGTTCAGATGAGGCCAAATTCGACAAGAAACATGCTTCAAAAAAGCATTTCTGAAGAAGGGTCCAGACCCAAAATGTCAGCTTTCCTGCTCCTCTGATGCTGCTTGGCCTGCTGTGTTCATCCAGCTCTACACCTTGTTATCTCAGATTCTCTAGCATCGGCAGTTCCTACTATCTTTTCTTGAAGAGTTACTCATTTTTTTAACTAGATATGGACTACCCACAGAAGGGTCAAATTTAACATCAAAATTACTCAAGAAAGTTAATGGATAGCTTAAGAATAAAACAATTCAAATCTACTGTGTACCATCCAGAATTACAGGGAGCATTAGAATAGTGGCATCAAACATGTTGAGGGTTTATAGTCAAGATTATCCAGAGGATTGGAATAAAGGAATCCATTTGTACATTTTGCAATTGGGAATGCACTTGATCAATCAACTAAATTCAGTCCATTTGAATTAGGTTTTGGGCATGAGGTGAGAGGACCACTGGAATTAATTAAGGAGAAATCGGTGAGTAAGAGTTCAGAGACTGCATATTTGGACTATGTGTCAAATTTTAGGGAAGGATTAAATGGAGCGGGTGAGTTGGCTAGACAGCATTTAAAAGTAACACAGCATGTGATGAAACAGGAAGCAGAGAAGAAATCAAAAATTCGCAATTTTGCTCATGGAGATAAAGTGTTAGTGCTATTCCCAGTGATAGGTGAACTTTTAAAAACAAGGTTTAGTGGGCATTATTCAATCAAAAGGAAATTGAGTGAGATGAATTATTTGATAAGAATGCCAGGTAGAAAGAACTCTCACAGTGTATCCTGTGAATATGTTCAAAAGACATTTTGATAGGGAAGGAAAGCAAAAGGAGACTGTTACAACACAGAGTGAAGAACCAAGTTCCTCAAATTAAATTGGACAATAAGGAAGTTTCAAAAATTGGAATAAATTATTGAGTTTCCTTCCAGAAGAATATCAAAATGACCTGCAAGAATTATTACAATCATACAGGGAGATGTGTGGGAATAAGCTTGGATGTACTAATCTGATAATGCATGATGTAGATATAGGAAATCTGTTCCATTAAGCAACATCCTTATAGTATTAACCCTCTAAAGTTGGCACAGGTTCAAAAGAGATTGAACGCATGCTTAAAGATAATGTAATTGAAATGAGTTGCAGTGAATGGAGCTCACCCACGGTAATGGTGAAAAAACCAGATGGTACCCAACAATTATGTGTGGATTATCACAAAAGTCAATGTAGTTAAAAAGTCTATTTGTTTGGAAGACTGCATTGAGAAGGTGGGACAAGCAACTTATATTTCTAAGTTAGATTTACTCAGAGGATACTGCTAGGTACGTTTATCTGAAAGAGTCAAGGGAATTTTGGCTTTCATGAAGCTGTATGGACTGTACCAGTTTAAGTTCATGCCATTTGGTAGAAAAATGCACCAGCCACATTTGAAAGACTAACCAATAAAATCATTTCAGGATTACCTAATTGTGTGGGGTACATCGACAATCTGGTAATTTTTAGTTACACGTGGAAGAAACATTTGGAGCATTTATCAGAATTGTTTGATGGACTTTGCGGGGCTGGCTTGGTGATAATCCTGGCTAAGAGTGAGTTTACAAAAGCCCAAGTTATTGAACATGGACAGATGGCCCCATGGGATGTGAAAACAAAAGTTATTAGAGAGATTCCCATTACCATCAATGAAGAGGGAAGTATTATGATTCCTGGGATTGTGTGGTTTTTATTGGAAGTTTGTTCTGAATGTTAACAGTGTGGTTGCTCCATTGACAGACTTGTTGAAGAAGTGGACAGAGGAATGTAAGAAGGCATTTGACAGCCTGAAAGCTGTGGTAATTACTGTGCTAGTGTTAGCCACACCTAATTACACAAAGCCATTCAAGGTGGCTATCAATAGGAGTGATGTGGGTGTCCATGCTGTACTCTCGCAAGGGGACAATAAGATAGAAAGACCTATTGGGATAACACAGTGTAGAGCTGGATGAACACAGCAGGCCAAGCAGCATCATAGGAGCAGGAAGGCTGACATTTCGGGCCTAGACCCTTCTTCAGAAATGGGGGAGGGGAAGGGCGTTCTGAAATAAATAGGGAAAGAGGGGGAGGCGGATAGAAGATGGATAGAGGAAAAGATAGGTGGAGAGGAAACAGACAGGTCGAAGAGGCGGGGATGGAGCCAGTAAAGGTGAGTGTAGGTGGGGAGGTAGGGAGGAGATAGGTCAGTGCAGGGAGGACGGACAGGTCAAGGGGGCGGGATGAGGTTAGTAGGCAGGAGATGGGGGTGGGGCTTGAGGTGGGAGGAGGGGATAGATGGGAGGAAGGACAGGTTAGGGAGGCGGGGACAAACTGGGCTGGTTTTGGGATGCGGTAGGGGGAGGGGAGATTTTGAAGCTTGTGAAATCCACATTGATACCATTGGGCTGCAGGGTTCCCAAGCGGAATATGAGTTGTTGTTCCTGCAACCTTCGGGTGGCATCGTTGTGGCACTGCAGGAGGCCCAGGATGGACATGTCGTCTGAGGAACGGGAGGGGAGTTGAAATAGTTCGTGACTGGGAGGTGTAGTTGTTTAGTGCGAACCGAGCGTAGGTGTTCTGCAAAACAGTCCCCAAGCCTCCGCTTGGTTTCCCCGATGTAGAGGAGGCCACAACGGGAACAGCGGATACAGTATACCACATTAGCAGATGTGCAGGTGAACATCTGCTTGATGTGGAAAGTCTTCTTGGGGCCTGGGATGGGGGTGAGGCCCGAAATGTCAGCCTTCCTGCTCCTATGATGCTGCTTGGCCTGCTGTGTTCATCCAGCTCTACACCTTGTTATCTCAGATTCTCCAGCATTGCAGTTCCTACTATCTCCACCCTACTATTGGGTGTTTTTTCCCAGAAAATTAAATAATTATCAACAGAAATACTCCCTAATTGAGAAGAAGACCTCAAGTTTGGAGCTGGCATTGCAACATTTCAGCATTTATATTGCCAGTAATGTGTCTGAGACAATTATATATGCTGATCATAACCTATTAATATTTTTGGAAAAGAAATTAATGATAAAAATTCCAGACTGTTTAGATGGAGCTTATTGTTGCAGCTATTTAATTTCTGAATTATACACGTGGCAGGATGAGAGAATGTAATTGCTGATGTGTTGTGGTGATTTTGATAAAGGAAGAGGTGGTGGGGAAAACTGGAGTGAAATGGACTGTAGTAGTGAATGTTTGCATGCTTAGTGTCAATGTAATGTACATGTATTGTAGTATACTAATACTGTAAGACTAAAGGATTTTCAAAATGAAGCAATCTTTGTATATAGATAACAAGGTGTAGGGCTGGATGCACACAGCAGGCCAAGCAGCATCAGAGGAGCAGGAAAGCTAACATTTCGGGTCTGGACCCTTCTTGAGAAAATTTCTGAAGAAGGGTCCAGACCCAAAACGTCAGTCTTCCTGCTCTTCTGATGCTGCTTCGCCTGCTGTGTTCATCCAGCTCTACACCTTGTTATCTCAGATTCTCTGGCATCGGCAGTTCCTACTATCTCCATATATAGATAGTTCATTTTTAAGGGGCTAGGTAATGATACTGCAACTTTAAGAGGTGTATTTTGTCCTTTTTTTTCATGAAGAGAGATTGAGACAGAGATGTCAAGCAGTCTGCTCAAAGCCAACAGAGAAAACAGCTTGTGAGGCCTTGCGTTTTTTAAAAGTTGGAACAATAGAAGCAGCCTGAATGGGTGGAGTCTAGCTCCCACAGAAGCAGGATTTTTAGTTTTAGCTTTCAGCAGTTGCTAGGATCTTGAAGCTGGATGTGGAAGCTCTTATTCCTTTCTGTTACAGCTAAAAGCTGGGGTTCTCTTCCTGCTGCTAGAATTGCACATGAGACAATCTATTTTACTGAATTTGCCTTTGCTAAGGGTGTGTTTATGGGATGTTATGATATTAGAACAGTTCATTAGTAGTGGTTAATACATATATTATTTTGTTAAGCACTTCGATAGAGTTACAGTTCAGCATATTCTTTTGTTTGTATTTTGTCTATATTTTAACTCGTGTAAAAATAAAGCATGTTTTACTTAAAGTCGAGTAGTTTGACCAATCAAATTGCATTTTGAACACAATGCTTTATACTTACCTTTACAATAAGAAAAAGTTAATATCTAGGCTATATTCTTAATATATTTTAAAAGGGTTTGGTCTGGTCCATAACACCGGTGTTTGGACCATATCCCTCTAAACCTTTCCTATTCATGTACATATCCAAATGTCTTTCAAATGTTGTAATTGTACCTGCATCTACCACTTCCTCTGGCAGTTTATTCCACACACAAATGGCCCTCTGTGTGAAAAAGTTGCCCCTCAGGTTCCTTTTAAAACTTTCTTCTCTCACTTTAAAAATATGCCCCCTAGCTTTGAACTCACCACTTTAGGGAAAAGACCTTTGCTATTCACCTTATCTACGCCCCTCATGATTTTATGAACCTCAATAAGGTTACCCCTCAACCCTTTTAAATCTTTCCCTCTCACCTTAAATCTATGCCCTTCTAGTTTTGGATACCCCTACCTTGGGAAAAAGACATTGGTTATTCACCCTATCCATGCCCCTAATGACTTTATAAACCTCTAATAAGGTCACCCCCTCAGCCTCTGATGCTCCAGGGAAAATAGCCCCAGCCTATAGCTCAAACCCTCCAAGCCTGGCAACATCCTCGTAAATCTTTTCTGAACCTTTTCAAGTTTCGCAACATCTTTCCTTAAGCAGGGCGACAAGAACTGAACGTGGCATTGTAATTCAAAGCCCCCTCTGCATCGATAGGCCTCTCCCTATCAATGACCCAGCACCTAGTCCTGAAGAAGGGTAATAGCTGGAACATTCCCACCCGCAACATGCTGCCTGGCTTCTTCCTGCTCTTCCTAACCACAGCCCCGCCCCCAAAGGTCACGGCCCCGCCCACTGGCTGGCGCGCTCCCGCTGAGGGTGGGGCGGGGCCGTGCGCGCGCCCCGGGGTAGTGGCAGCCGCGGGGCCGCGCCCGCATTCCGCTCAGCGCCAGGGAAGCGGCGCCATGTCGGAGCCGGAGCGGCTGGAGAACCACCGCATCCGGAACTTCAAAAACAAGGGCCGTGATGTCGAGGTACCGGGGCCGTGGGGGGGATGCGTGTGCTAGGCCAGGCCGGTGACTGGGCCTTAATCCCGGGGGCCCGAATCACTCCGATACTGGGGGAAGGTGGGGGCTTAGTGTTGGCCCCGGGAGGCGGGGGAGGGTCACTGGGAAACCGGGACCGGGCCTCGGCCTCTCACCGGCGGCCGCCGCCGCCTCCTCCCAGGGCCCAGCCTCCCGCGAGCCACCACCGGGAGGGCGCTGGTGTCCTGCTCCTATCACGGAGGCACCAGCTTCTGTTCTGGAGGCAAAGGTTCGATTCCTGCCCATGGAAGATGCTGACATTTCAATTCAATAAAAATTCTGGAATTCGAAGCTCATGCTGCCCCTGAAACCATTTCTCGATTTTGTAAAAACTCATCGGGTTCACTAGTGGTTTTGAGTGAGGGAAAGCTGCTGACTTGACCTGGTCTTGTCTGTTTGTGACTCCAGACCTACAGGAATGTGGTTAATTGATCATACAGTCATATACAAAACCGGAGTAGACTCTTCTGCCCTTTGAACCTACTCTAACCATTTATTATGGTCATGGGTGATCATCCATTCAGCAGCCTGTTTCTAATTTTTCCCCATGTCCCCTGATCCCTTTTGTCCCAAGTGTTACTTCTTCCTTGAAACCATACAATATTTTGGCTTTGACTGCTTTCTGTGGTGGAGAATTTAACCTGCTTGCTATTCTCTGGGCAATAAAATTTCACCAAATTTCAGACCCAGATAGTTTACCCTGTATCCTTAAACTGTGACCCCTGATTCTGGACCCCCCCCCATACCAAATTTTGGAATTTTACATTTATTTCCCACATCCAAATCAATATATGTTGTGAATAGCAAGAGATGCTAGCAGTGGCCTCTGTGGCACCCCACTAATCACAGCCTGCCATTGAGAAAAAGACCTATTTATTCATACTGTTTCTTTGCAGACCTTGTCCAAACACCACTATCATCATCCTTCGGCATGTTCTGTCCCACCAGCAGAGGTGGTGATACAGTGGTATATAGTCAGATGAAAACTGCCTGAAAGTGACCAGGTAGTTGTCTGAGCTGAACTATTTTGAGTTGCTTCATCAGTATTTCTCCATTATAAGGTCAGAAGTGGGGTGTTCACCTGTCATATATAAGGCACATGCCAGGAGTTTGATGGAATACTCCCCACTTGCCTGGCTAAATGCAGTCCCAACAACAGTCAAATCTGACACTACCTAGGAATTACCAGGCTGTCTGACTGACTGGCACCCAGTTTGCAACCTTCAATGTTTACTCCTTCACTGACACTCAGTAGCAGCAGTGTGACCCATCTGCAAGATGCACTGCAGATAATTCACCGAAGATCCATGATTAGCATCTTCCAAACCCGTGACTACTTCCATCTAGGAGGATAAGGGCAACAGATATGTGAGAACACCAGCACCTTTACACATTGTGCTGATTTAGAAACCCGTCACTGGGTCAAAGTCTTGGAATTCCTGTCTGTACTGCAGTGGTTCAAGAAGACAGCTCTCCACCACCTTCTGGACATTTAGGGATGGGCAGTAAACAGGGCTGACCCAGTCAGTGTCACTTGCATCCTGTGAAAGGAAAGTAAAACTATTTTGTCCCATGTCCTTATCTCACCCATCCCAAAGTAAATAACCTCTCACTTCCCACATTATGATATGTTGGGGCAGGTGGCGGTGGTAATGCAACTGGCTGGCAATTCAGAACCTCAGTCTGAATGCGTGGATTTCAATCCCACCATGACAGATTTCGTTACAATTTTGGAATAAAGAGCTGCTCTGATTGTGTCAGTATAACCACTGTAGATCATTCTTAAAAACTCCTCTGGTTGTCTAATGCCCATTTCGGGAAGGAAACTGCTTACCTGGTCTGGCCTAATGGGATTCCAGACCCACAGCAATGTGGTTGCCTCTTAACCACCCTCTGAACAATAACTGGTGCCTTAGCCAGCCATAGCCACATAATGTGAACAAAATTAAAAAGAAATCTGTTAGTTTTGTGCACACACACTTACCATATCCTCTCAACTTACATTTCAACTAGCTTTTTTTAAAAAAATTCAGTCGTGGGATGTTGGCGTTGCTAGCTAGTCAGCAATTATTGCCCATCCCTAGCTGTCCTTTCGATCTGAATGACTTGCTAGGGCAGTTTAAGAGTCAGCTACATTATGGTGTCTGGAGTCACATGTAGGCCAGACCAGGAAGGCAGATTTCCTTCCCTGAAGGACAGTAGTGGGCCAGATGGGCCTTTCCTGACAATTGACGATGGTTTCATGGTCATCAGTAGATTCTTAATTGGAGATTTTGTTTTATTGAATTCAAATTCCACCATCTGCTGTGGCAAGATTTGAATCTGAGTCCCCAGAACATTAGCTGAGTTTCTAGATTAGTAGTCTAGCGTTAATACCACTAGGCCATTGCCTCCCCTTTGTACCATCAGCAAATTTGGGCACATTGCAGTTCTGCTGAAGGATCATTGGATTTGAAACCTTAACTCGGCTTCTATCTCTGTTGATGCTGATGCTGACCTGCTGAGTTTCTCCAGCACTTCCTGTTTGTTTCAGTAAATAACATAGATTGTAAATAGTTAAGACCCCAGCACTGATCGTTGTGTGCTACATCGGTTTCAGTTTGCTAACCTGAAAACAATCCATTTATTAGTGTAGGTGAAGGATTGCTCAAGTAACATATTAACCCTAGAACCATGCATTCTTGTTTTGTTTTGCAACCTTTTGTGTGGCATGTCATCAAATGCATTTTAGAAATCCAAATACGCCATATCTATTGGTTGTCCCTTATCCACCCTGCTTTTTCCATTGTCAAAGATTCTGATCAATGTGTTAAATGCCTTTTCTGTTCAATAGAAGCAGGTTGACTCTGCATGAATATTTTATGATTTCTAAATGTACTCCTGTTATCTTAACAATAGTTCCCAGCGGGTCTTGTGATTTTCGTCTGTCCTCCTCCTCTTCTCCCCTCTGATCTATTGGATGAAGGTGTTGCGTTTGTTCTATTCTAGTATGCTGCAATGTATCCTGAATCTTTGCAATTTTAGACAATTGCAACTCACTCAACAGTTATCTCTGCAGTAATTCTGTTAAGGCACAGGAATTACAAGTCATGAAGTACAGAGTACTGTCAGTCTTTAGTCCCATTAGTTTTCCCAGTATTTTTTCTCTTGTGATTGTTTTGAGTTCACTGATCCCTCTGGCCTCTTGATATTATAATATTTTTGCGGTGCTTTTGGGTCTTTTACTGTGAAAAAAGGATTAAGTACTTGTTCAAAGTATTCACAATTTCCTCATTTCACCTGCCCAGCCCTCTCAGAATTTAATGTTTCAATAAAATCTCTTATTCTTCTAAACTTCTCATCTTTTCTTTATAAGTCAAGTCCATCACTCCACAGAGCAGCCTAGAGAACCTGCTTTGTACTGATTCCAGTATCCAATATAATCTGTTCTTAAACAACGAGACCAATCTATACACAGTACTCCAGATGTGGTCTTAGCCAAGCCCTGTACAATTGGAGCAAGACTTGCCTATTTTTGTACTCCATTACTTTGAAGATTCCATTTGCATTCATTATTATTTGCTGCATTTGCATGCTAAAGTTTTGAGATTCACATACAAGAAAACCATGATTTTTTTTTACTGACTCAATGAGCTCCTGTCCCATGCAATTATCCTTTAGGTGATGCCTTATCAAATACCTTTTGAAAGTACGAGTATATTACATCTACTGGTTCATTGCCTTATAATCCGCCAAGCTTGTAACATTCTGAATGAACTTTTTAACTGATTATGTAAAAAGTACCAAAGTAAAGGGAAAACATTTATGTTGTATGAGAAGACCGTGTTGATTGGTGGCGAGTGGACTCTGATAGTGGAGGCATTGCCACAGGGAACGTAGTAATTAGATGATTGACAGTTAACTGCCAAGCTTTGTCGAAATTTTGTACTCTGATTGTAAAGAAGACACTAATTCAATATTGTTTAAACATCATTCAGTCAGCAACTAATACAGTAAGCGACAGAAAAAATATCTCTGCCCACTTTGACTTCCTAACATGACCTAAGACACTCTCCAATACATTATACTGTATTCTGCACAGAATTCATATTTTAGAGGACTAGTCCAAAGTTACTGACCCCGTCCAACAGGCTCAGTTCTCCCCATTTCACCGAGTCTAAATTCAATAATCATCAAAATGTTCTTCCCAACCCTCATTGAATCCCTAAACAGACTTCCAGCAGTGATGCCCTCTCCAGTAAGTTGTTCTTGCTGGTTCAGGGTAAATCTTCCAGTGTTCTTAAATCTCCATATCCTGTCTGATAGTAGAGAGAGAGCAGTCTTTCCCCCTGCTGTTCATTATAGCTGCTGTTTCTCTTGTCTTCAGGCACTCCGGATAGCAGCAAGCACTTAGCATTAGTTCCAATACTGGTCAACTTGAGACCTTGCTTACAGGTATCCTTGTATCACTGACATGTAGGATCGGTTGGTCTTGTGCTGATACTAAGCTCCCTATACAGCATGTCTTCGAGAATGTAGCTTTCATCCATTTGGATCACATGACCCAGCTAAGAGAATTGCTGCTGACTCTAACAGAAACGTGCTGGAATACCTGCAGACTGGTATCGTTCCATGTATGAGACTCCATCCTGGCAGAATATTTTCAATCTTGACTGAGGCAGCAAAGGCCGTTCAGGTTTTTCGTGTCTTACAAAGAACAAAGAAAATTACAGCACAGGAATAGGCCCTTCGGCCCTCCAAGCCTGCGCCGATCCAGATCCTTTGTCTAAACCTGTCGCCTATTTTCCAGGGATCTGTATCCCTCTGCTCCCTGCCCGTTCATGTATCTGTCTAGATACATCTTAAATGACGCTATCGTGCCCACCTCTACCACCTCCGCTGGCAACGCGTTCCAGGCACCCACCACCTTCTACATGAAGAACTTTCCACGCATATCTCCCTTAAACTTTTCCCCTCTCACCTTGAAATTGTGACCCCTAGTAATTGAGTCCCCCACTCTGGGAAAAAGCTTCTTGCTATCCACCCTGTCTATACCTCTCATGATTTTGTAGACCTCAATCAGGTCACCCCTCAACCTCCGTCTTTCTAATGTAAATAATCCTAATCTACTCAACCTCTCTTCATAGCTAGCGTCCTCCATGTACGGCAACATCCTGGTGAACCTCCTCTGCACCCTCTCCAAAGCATCCACATCCTTTTGGTAATGTGGCGACCAGAACTGTACGTAATATGCCAAATGTGGTCGAACCAAAGTCCTATACAACTGCAACATGACTTGCCAACTCTTGTACTCAATACCCCGTCCGATGAATGAAAGCATGCCGTATGCCTTCTTGACCACTCTATCGACCTGTGTTGTCACCTTCAGGGTACAATGGACTTGAACACCCAGATCTCTCTGTGCATCAATTTTCCCCAGGGCTTTTCCATTTGCCGTATAGTTTGCTCTTGAATTGGATCTTCCAAAATGCATCATCTCGCATTTGCCTGGATTGAACTCCATCTGCCATTTCTCTGCCCAACTCTCCAATCTATCTATATTCTGCTGCATTCTCTGACAGTCCCCTTCACTGTCTGCTACTCTGCCAATCTTAGTGTCATCTGCAAACTTGCTAATCAGACCATCTATACCTTCCTCCAGATCATTTATGTATATCACAAACAACAGTGGTCCCAACACGGATCCCCGTGGAACACCACTGGTCACAGTTCTCCATTTTGAGAAATGCCCTTCCACTACAACCCTGTGTCTCCTGTTGCCCAGCCAGTTCTCTATCCATCTAGCTAGTACACCCTGGACCCCATGCAACTTCACTTTCTCCATCAGCCTACCATGGGGAACCTTATCAAACGCTTTACTGAGGAAGGGTCACCGGACCTGAAATGTTAACTCTGTTTTCTCCTCCACAGATGCTGCCAGACCTGCTGAGCTTTTCCAGCAACTTTGTTTTTGTGCCTTACTGAAGTCCATGTATATGACATCTACAGCCCTTCCCTCATCTATCAACTTTGTCACTTCCTCAAAGATCACAGCATGGAGAAGTGCGGGTAAAGAGTTGGTATTAGAAGGCTCACATCCCATGAGTGAATAAAACAAACTACACAAGATCTATTTAAAACAGTCATATTACAGATATAAATGAAGAAGATTGAATCCTTTTACTCTCAACAACAACTTTACAGATACTCAAACCTTAGTGAAGAGTCATAGAGTCATGGAAGGAAGACCCTTCAGTCCAACTCGTCCTTGCTGACTAGATATCCTTTATAATTCTAGTCCCGTTTGCCAGCATTTGGCCCATATCCCTCTAAGCCCTAACTATTCATATATCCATCTGGATGCCTTTTAAATGTTGTAATTGTACCAGCCTCCACCACTTCCTCTGGCAGCTCATTCCATATATGCACCACCCTCTGTGAAAATGTTGCCCCTTTTATATCTTTCCCCTCTCACCTTAAACCAATGCTGTCTAGTTTTAGACTCCCCCACCTCAGGGAAAAGACGTTGTCTCTTTACACGACCTCCCAACTCCTGTGCTCAGTGCACCGACCAATAAAGGCAAGCATACCAAACATCCCCTTCACTATCCTGTCTACTTGCGACTCCACTTCAAGGAACTATGAACCTGCAATCCAAGGTCTCTTTGTTCAGCAACACTCCCCAGGCCCTTATTTGCCTTTCCAAAATGCAGCACCTCACATTTATCTAAATTAAACTCCATCTGAAACTCATTGGCCCATCTGATCAAGATCCCATTGTACTTTGAGGTAACTTTTTTCGCTGTTCACTACAAGTCCAGTTTTAGTGTCATCTGCAAACTTACTAACCATACCTCCTGTGTTCACATCCAAATCATTTATATAAATGACAAAAAGCAGTGGACCCAGCACCGATCCTTTTGGCACACCACTGGTCTGAAAAGCACCCCTCCACCACCACAGTCTATCTTCCACCTTTGAGTCAGTTCTGTATCCAATTAACTAGTTCTCCCTGTATTCCATGTTGTCTAACCTTGCTAACCAGTCTACAATGCAAAACCTTGTCGAATGCCTTACTGAATTCCATATAAATCACATCCACTGCTCTGCCCTCATCAATCCTCTTTGTTACTTCTTCAAAATACTCAATCAAGTTAGTGAGACATGACTTCCCACGCACAAAGCCATGCTGGCTATCTCTAATCAGCCCTTTCCTGAAGAGTTAACCTATCTCCACTTTAAAGGCCCTTGTTCAGTGGCACATCTGTAATTGGGTTTTTCCAACAAATGCAACAAACTTTTTTTTAACTTGCACCTTATGAACCGACACACTCAATAAACAGCCAAAATTATGAACCTGAAATACTGAAAGTTTTGTGTATCATTGCGATCTTTCGATGTCCAAGTAACCAGTTGAGAATGTGAGCGAGAAGGCTCTCTGCCAGTAATTTTTATATAAGGCAAAGTTGCATTATTTAAGTGATTTATGTTGTAAATAAAGTACAGCAGTGATGTGCATACCCCTGGATTATGTTTCATTACTTAGTGAGTGTGTTTACATTGATTATGTGGACCTCTTGATCAACTGGTGCACTCCTGGTCCCATAGGTGCTAATTAATAAAACATTTGCTGTACTTGCATTCACAAAAGTGCTATTTTCTTTAGTTATTGCCTCTTCCTCAACAAACTGTTAAAGCAGCTGACAAAATCCATGTCTTGTGCACCTTTCTACTTCTGGAGTTCTCTTTAGCAACTCAAGACTTTTTTTTCCAATCCCTATATGTGTTGAAGACAATTGTTAACAAAATTCCTGTTGCTAAGGACCTTTTCTGTCCCATTGAGCCTGCACACGGCCTCATCTTCTGGATAGTGTCTGTGTTGCTGAATTCCTGTCGCTAGGTAACAACAATTTTTTTCTATTGTTTTGGTTTGCTCATGCACTGAGCTGTTCTGTTCAGTGGTTTAACCACCACATTAAAATACTCGCAATCGAACAAATTTCCAATACCCTGACTCCACTCTCAGAATTCAAAAGTGAAACTCCCATCTTCCCTTTCCTATCACTTACAATATAGAAATACAAATCAGATTCAAAGCTCTACACGTTCTGTCCACTTCAGAGCCGTCATACCCTGTAACATTTTTACTGTTGTGCAGAGGTCTGCACTCGGCAGTGGCTCCCGGAAATGGAAGCCGTTTGTTAGCATGTCGATCAGTGTGCATAGAGCTACACAGTGACTCTGCAGCCACATACCCTACAGGGGATGTCATTTACGACCCAAATTTCCAAATAATAATATATCTCGAATCCTCATAACAAGAAATATTGTGCACTTTGTGTAGGCATTACTGTGAAGGACTCAGTTCATTACGAAGAAATGATGTCAATTTTGATCACTGACTAATGTTGCATTATGTCTTTTTGATGTTATAGACTATGAGAAAACAGCGAAATGAAATCACGATTGAATTACGAAAGGCAAGTATTGGAGCCTTAGCTTTGTGCTGAAGAAGGGAATAGGTGGGCTGGATGGGAAGAGACAAACAAGGCAAGGGAACACACGAATGATAGGACTCTGCGAACCACTGAGGATCAGAGGCACCTTGGTCTGCATGTACACCCATCCCTTAAGGTAGCGGGATAGATAGATAAAGTGGCTAAAATGGCATGTGGAATACCTGCCTTTATTAACTGAGGCATAGAATTTAAAAGTAGGGTGGTTATGCTGGAACTGTGTAAAATGTTGGTTAGGCCACAGGTAAGAGTATTATATGAAGTTCAAATGTGCAATTCACACTTAGAGGAGGATTGTGACTGCACTGGAGAGGGTGCAGATGAGATTTATCAGGATGTTGCTGGGCTGGAGAGTTTCACTTATGAAAAGAGATTTGACAGACTGCGAGATAGTAAGAACTGCCGATGCTGGAGTCTGAGATAACACGGTGTGGAGCTGGAGGAATACAGCACGCCAGGCAGCATCAGAGGAGCAGGAAAGTTGATGGTTCGGGTCGGGACGCTTCCAATTGTTTTCCTTGGAGCAGGGGAGACTGAGGGAGACGCGATTGAGTTGTATAAAATTATGAGGGGCATGGACAGGGTAGACTGGAAGGAACATCCTCCTTGGTGGAGGGATCAGTGACCAGGGGCATAGATTTAAGGTAAGGTATAGGAGATTTAGAGGAGATGTGATGTAACATGTTTACGAACTGCTTTGTCTCTGTCTGAGAGAAAGCAAGAGATTTCCTTCAGTACCCTGAGGATAAAATCAAAGACTTTGCAAGAGAAGCTACATTAGCCTTGGTGCTACTTCCACATCTGGGGTTATCTGGTTGCACAACTTTCAACCGTGAATGTTGATGGAGCATTACTTTAACATTTTTCAGCAAATTGTCTAATGTGATTAATGGATTGGTATTGGGTGGAAGATCATCCATTTAGATGTTTTGTTATGAACAGTTTGTTATTTTTGTGAAGTGGTTTGGTGTTTAGTATTCTACTAGAGATGTACCAATAAAGTGCTTGTCACAGAATTTCTGCCTGTTCTTTATGTTAAATTTTTGTCTTTTCAGAATAAGCGAGATGAACACTTGCTAAAGAGACGAAATGTGCCTCAGGAGGAGGTTCTCGATGACTCTGATATTGACGGTGATTTCAGAGTTGTAAGTAATACTTTCACTGACAGAACTGGACTAGGAGAAATCAAAAGTGAAGTTTGGTTCACTTGGAATTGGGATCAGAATGTATGTACAGAGCCTAGAGAGGAAATTAATGTAGCCACTAAACCTGAAGACCCAAGAGCTTCTGAAACAGACCTTAGCTAACAGTGTTTTAAGCTCAATTGTATCAAGTTACTTGGCAAATTGACTACAATTTCAACAAATCAATGCTGTTGTGGCAAAAATAGTTTTTCCTTCAAATAGTCACACTTTTTGCAATGTAGGTACTTTCGTGATTTTGTATTTTTCTTTATGAAGTGTCCAATGATTCTGTATCTATGGGATTTCTCTGGACACCCAGACTGAGTCTCCTCCTCATCAGTGAATGGGAGAGTAGGCAGTTGTGGACTATGTGTTTATGCTGCAGCTTCCTTCCACACTACTTCATCCTTCCCTATCAACATATCATAAGACATAGGAGCAGAAATTAGGCCATTCGGCCCATCGAATCTGCTCTGCCATTCAATCATGGCTGATAAGTTCCTCAACCCCATTCTCCCGCTTTCTCCCAATATCATAGAAAATAGGAGCAGGAGTTGGCCATTCAACATTTAAAGCCCATTCAATCATTTGTTATGATCATGGCTGATCATCTAACTCAGTAGAACTTTCCCAATATCCTTTGATCCCTTTAGCCCCAAGTGCTAACTACAACTCCTTCTTGAAATCATACAGTGTTTTGGCCTTGATTGTTTTCTGTGGAAGCAAATTTTAAAGGCTCACCACTTTCTGGGTGAAGAAATTGCTCTTCATCTCAATCCTAAATAATCTACCCCTTAACCTTAAACTGTTCCCCTGGTTCTGGACTCCCCTGCCATTGGGAACATCCTTTCTGCATGTATGTTGTCTAGTCTTGTTAGGGTTTTGTAGGGTTCTGTAAGATAACGTTATTCTTCTGAACTCTAGCGAATATAATCTTAAATGATGCAACCTCTCCTCATACATCATCTCAGGAATCAGTACGGTAAACCTTCATTGCACTCCCTTTATAGCAAGAACATCCTTCTGCAAATAAGACCAAAACTGTATGCAATATTCCAGTTGTGGTCTCACCAAGGCCCTGAATAATTACAGAATGATATCCCTGCTCTCGGTATGAAGGCTAACATGCCATTTGCCTCCTTCGCTGCCTGCAGAACGTGCTTGCTTAATTTCAGTGACTGGTGTACAAGGATACCCAGGTCTTGTTGCACATTCCCCTCTCTCAATTTACAGCCATTCGGATAATTTGCCATTCGATTTGGATACCAAAGAGAATAACCTCACACTTATCCACATTATAATGATTTGCCATACATTTGATCACTCATTCAGCTTGTCGAAATTGGACTGAAGCATCTCTGCATCCTCCTTACAGCTCACTGTCCTGTCAAACTTTGTGTCACAAATCTGCTCTATTTCTTTCTCTGTCAAGAACCTATCTAAATTCTTGTTGAATGTATCTGTGTTATTTGACTCAACTAGTTCCTTTGGTTGTGCTTTCAATATCCTTGCCAATCCCTGGGGAAAGGAGTTGTTCCTAAATTTCCTCCACGATTTATTAATAGTTTGATGGTCTAGATGTGCAGATGACGACTCCACTGGCAGCTGAGATCAATATTACATTCATAAATGTAACAAACTATTTCCGAACGTTAAAGACCACTGGTGCCCCCGACTCTCAACTTCTCTTTTCTAGAGAAGAGAACTCCAACCTGTTCAGTTTGTTCTTCATGGGTATAACTGGTCAGTTGCAATATCTTCCTTGTAAATTTTTTCACTTTCTCGATTGCCTCCATATCCTTTCTTTTTGAGAGAATGTGGAATGCACTGCACCAAGTAACCATAATGGAGTACCTGATGGACAGAGGTATAATTTTGGTCTCTTATTTGAGAAAGGATATCATTGCATTAGAGTCTGGGTTAAAGTCCCACCTACCCTAGACATGTGGTGTAGCATGACTGAACATGTTGATTTCAAGTATCTATGATTGTGTTAGAAGCAGTTCAGAGAAGATTCACTTGGCTCATTCCTGGAATGAAGGGCTTATGAAGAAAGGTTGGTATTCGTTGGAGTTCAGAAGAATGAGAGATAATCTCATCATGTGTGTAAGGTATAACATATAAGATCCTGAGAGGACTTGATAGGGTGGATTCTGAGAGGATGTTTCCCTTTGTAGGAGAGACTAGAACCAGAACTAGAAAATCTCCTCTTGTTATGACTCAATTGATCAGGTGAACTGATTCCCTAGACCCACTAATCCTGGATCATCTCATTAGAAAGATTTAATCAAAGCACGTAAAGTCCGTGATTTACCTGGGACTGAAGTTATTGGAAAACACTGATCAGGTTCCTGTACTTTACCAGAGATAGCAGGAACTGCAGATGCTGGAGAATCCGAGACAACAAGGTGCAGGGCTGGATGAACACAGCAGGCCAAGCAGCATCATAGGAGCAGAGAGGCTGACGTTTCGGGCCTAGACCCTTCATCAGAAAAGGGGGAGGGGAAAGGGGTTCTGAAATAAATAGGGAGAGAGTGGGAGGCGGATAGAAGAGGGATAGAGGAGAGGATAGGTGGAGAGGAAACAAACAGGTCAAAGAGGCGGGGATGGAGCCAGTGAAGGTGAGTGTAGGTAGGGAGTTAGGAAGGGGATAGGTCAGTCCAGGGAGGACGGACAGGTCAAGGGGGCGGGATGAGGTTGGTAGGGACAAGTCTCTCCATGACTCCCTTGTCCGCTCCACACTCCCCTCCAGCTCCACTACACCCGGCACTTTTCCCTGCAACCGCAGGAAGTGCTACACCTGCCCCCATACCTCCTCCCTCACCCCCATCCCAGGCCCCAAGAAGACTTTCCACATCAAGCAGATGTTCACCTGCACATCTGCCAATGTGGTATACTGCATCCGCTGTACCCGGTGTGGCTTCCTCTACATCGGGGAAACCAAGCGGAGGCTCGGACCGCTTTGCAGAACACCTACGCTCGGTTCGCAATAAACAACTGCACCTCCCAGTCGCGAACCATTTCAACTCCCCCTTCCATTCCTCAGACGACATGTCCATCCTGTTCCTCCTGCAGTGCCACAACGATGCCACCCGAAGGTTGCAGGAACAGCAACTCATATTCCGCTTGGGAACCCTGCAGCCCAATGGTATCAATGTGGATTTCACAAGTTTCAAAATCTCCCCTCCCCCTACCGCATCCCAAAACCAGTCCAGCTCTTCCCTGCCTCCCTAACCTGTTCTTCGTCCCACCTATCCCCTCCTCCCACCTCAAGCCCCACCTCCATCTCCTACCGACCAACCTCATCCCGCCCCCTTGACCTGTCCGTCCTCCCTGGACTGACCTATCCCCTTCCTAACTCCCTACCTACACTCACCTTCACTGGCTCCATCCCCGCCTCTTTGACCTGTTTGTTTCCTCTCCACCTATCCTCTCCTCTATCCCTCTTCTATCTGCCTCCCACTCTCTCCCTATTTATTTCAGAACCCCCTTCCCCTCCCCCTTTTCTGATGAAGGGTCTCGGCCCGAAGCGTCAGCCTCTCTGCTCCTATGATGCTGCTTGTCCTGCTGTGTTCATCCAGCCCTGCACCTTGTTGTCCCTGTACTTTACCGTTTGTTATAAATGAGTAAATTCTAATCACAAGTTAACAACTATGAACTGTTAATACATGGGTTCTACTAGTTAAAACTCTTGCCTTTCATTTTAAACCCCCTCCTCACACAGACTAACAAAAAGACTAGGCTTTATGTGAGGAGGGGAAAGAAACTGGGAATCACTGTTCATTAGCACCAGTCTCCAAATATCCCACAGTTGATCCTTTTGGTTTCCCAGGACTTTGTATTCTTCAAATTGTTTTCTCCAGGTTCTTCATGGAAGGTGAATAGGGCCTTGATGTTTCTAAAAAAGTTCATTTATGAGATATGGGCACTACTGGCTAGTCTAACATTTATTGTCTGTTCCTAATTGCCCGGAAGCAGTTAAAACCCATTGTTGTGGCGCTAGAGTCACATGTAGGCTAGACCAGGCAAGGGCAACACATTTCATTCCCTAAAGGACATTAGTGAACTAGTTGGGTTTCTACAGCAATTGAAAGTGGTTACATGATCGCCATAATCCTTGATTTTTATTCCAGATTTTTTCCATCAAATTCAGATTTCACTATCTGACATGATGGGATTCCCCAGAGAATTAAACTTGGGTATGGATTACTAGTCCAGTGACATTACCAGAATGCCACCATCTTCCCATCCACATCCAGGAGTACTGTATACAATTAATTCATCTTATTGAAGAAAAGACATACTTCTGTTAGAAATAGTTCAGAGAATGGTTAATCAAATGGTTACTGGCATGGAGGAGTTATCTAATGGAGAAAGGTTGGATTGGGCCTTTATCCATTGTCATTCAGATGACTGCAAGGTGATGTTATTGAAGCATGTATGAGCCTGAGGGGATTTGACATCATAGATGTGGAAAGAATGTTTTCCCTTGTGAGAGATTAGAACTAGGGCAGCGGTAGATAGATTTTTGACTGAGAATTGAGTGAAAAGCTGTTGAGGGAAGATAGGAAAGTGGAGTTGAGGGTTAGGGTTAACGATTCAAGAAGGCAGCTCACCAGCACTTTGCCAAAAGGCGACTAGGGATGGGGGCAGTCAATGCTGACCTAGCCAGCAATCACATGAATAAATTTTTAAAAATCACAACAGATCATTCATGAGCTTATCTAATGGCTAGGTAGGCTCAAGGGGCCAAATGCCCTACTCCGGTTCCTAATTCATTTGTTCATGTGTTCACTTCTTCACAAAAGGCACAGGACAGTTGGTACACTAACTGCAAAGTCTCTTAGTTTCTGGTTAAGGGCAACAGCTAACAGCAAGTCGTGAGAGAAAATAACTGGCTTTCTTCCGGTATTTTTATTGTGCAGAGAGAGAGAGAGAGACACACACTCTACCTACCTTTCCAAAGGTCTGAATGTTTCTCACTATATTATTCACACCCTTGAGCTGTTCTGCAAGTCAAAAACAGAGTTGTCATTAGGCTGATGACCTTTGGTATCCAGGATCGATTGCAAATTCACAAGCCAATCGGTTACTTGTTGCTGGCCAAATCTCACTCTGCACACACCCCATGGCAGCAGTTTAAACACCACACACAGTGAGTTTCTGTAATTTGTTTTTAGAAGTGTAGCAGTTCCTTCCACAAGCCTAAGTCATGTGTTTCAAAACAGTTGGAGTGTTGAATGTGGGTGTTGGGAATGGCTTACGGTGGAGTGGTAGTATTGATGGGCCTAGAGGTTAACTACTCCCATCAGTCTCTGGTCAGTAAGCTGCTGTGTCATTTTTATTTTACTTTAATCAAAAGTATTTTCCTATTGACAGCTTTTAAGACTGAACCTGTACCATGGAAAGAAGTGTAAATAAGTCTTTTGTTCTTTTGCAGCAATCAATCACGTTGTCGGGGATTGTGCAGGTGCGTGTAATATTAGGTCACTGCAGAATACTCGCTTTTCAACCTATCAGTTCTACATAAATTTATTTTGCACAATGTTATCTTTCATGCTCTGAATCTAAGCTTCAACAAAATCATTTATAAAAAGCAAATGTACTTCTTTTAAAAAAAGACTTTAAACATTCAGGTCATTTCTTAAATGCTACAGGATATAAATTGAAATATACTGATTTTTTTAGGGTGCTTCGAGTGACAATCCCGTGGTACAGCTCAGTGCAGTTCAAGCAGCCAGGTAATGCTCGATGTTTACATTTTGTTTCAGTTCAATATCTCATGAATTTTGTACAAACCATTGAATGATTACGACACAAAAGGAGGCCATTCAGCCCATCATATCTATTGAGTTTGTCTACAAAAGCAACTCAATTAGTCTCACTGCATAACCCCTTTCCCTAAAGCCCTGCACATCTTTTCAGAGATTCTCAGATTCATGGAAGTGTTATGGTGCAGAAAGAAGCCATTTGGCCCATGGTGTCTGCTCTGGCCATCCAAATGCATCGTGATTTTTGCTAATCTCTAAATAACCATGTCCTGTTGAATGTCTCAGCTGTTGCCTGGAATGAAAAGTCTCGGTTATGAGGAGAGACTGGATAGGTTGGATTTGTTTTCCTTGGAACAGAAGAGACTGAGGAGAGATCTGGTTGAGGTATATAAAATTGAGAGGTATAGATAGAGTAGATTGTGAGAATCCCTTCCCCATGGCAGATGCATCTAAGACCAGAGGGCGTATATTTAAGGTGAGGAGAAAGTGGTTTAGAGGACATATGAGAGAGACTTAGTTCACCCTCAGGGTAGTTGAAATATGGAACATGCTGCCTGAGATGGCGGTGGAGGCAGGTGCTCTTGCAACATTTACGAAGTTTCTGGATGAGTGCTTAAAGTGCCAGGGCATGGCAGACTATGGTCCAAGTCAGCGTAAATAGGTTTAGCGTAGTTTGGCATCTGTTTATACGCTGTATGACTCGATGTGGATATTTCAATCACTATGATGACTGTTGGAGAGGAACTTGCAAGTGGTAGAGTTCCAATGTATCTGCTGCCCTTGTCCTTCTAATGGTAGTGGTCATAGGTTTGTAGTGGTCTTGGGAGCCTTGGGGAATTTATTTAGTGTATCTTGTAGATGGTACACACTGCTGCTACTGAGCATCAGCTGTGGAGACTGTGAATGTTTATGGGTGTGCCAATCAAGCAGGCTTCTTTGTCCTGGATTGTGTCAAGCTTCTTGCATTTTTTTGGAGCTGCATCATCCAGGCAAGTGGGGAGTATTCCATCACACTCCTGACTTGTGCCTTGTAAATGGTGGACAGGCTTTGGGGAGTCAGGAGGTGAGTTACTTGCTGCAAGAAGTGTAGCCTCTGACCTGCCCTCGTAACCACAGTACTTAGATGATTAATTCACTTTGATTTTTGGTCAGTAGTAACTCCCAGGATAATGATAGTAGGGGATTCAGTGATGATGATGATGCTAATGAATGTTAAGGGACAGTAGTTAGATTCTGTATGGTCGAAAATGGTTATTGTCTGGTTTCTGTAGATATTGTCCAGGACTTGTTGTATATGTACACAGACTGCCTCAGTATCTGAAGAGTCACAACTGGTGCTGAACATTATGCAATCATTGGCAAATATCCTTACTTCTGACCTTAAGTTGGAGGGAGGAAGGTCTTTGATGAAGCAGCTGAGGATGGTTGTTCCTAGGACACTGCCCTGAGGAACTCCTGAGCTGAGGTGATTACTCTCTGACAGTTTTAAAGTCTTTTGCAAGGTGAGAAAAAGAACTTTTCCACACAGCGAGTAGTCAAGGTCTGGAACACACTACTTGGAAATGTGGCAGAGGCAGATTTAATTGAGGTATTTGAGAGGGCATTGGATGATCATTTAAATAGAAGCAATATGTGGGGAATGGCTTCCTTCTGCACCATAACAATTCTGTGAGCCTTGTTCTCCACTTGTATTATCAACCTGAAATCTGTGAGATGCACCCTTTTCTGTTTTACCTTAGTTTCCGTCTCTTTTCTCGTTGAGGGAACTCCAATTTTGTTGTACCTTTCCACCTTGCTGGAATGTATTTCAGTTGAACTGTCTCCACCTAAAGATAGCTTATTGTTCAATTATGGTTCTGCCCGCCGATCTTCAGTTCTAATTTGCAATTGATTTATCTCGCCTCATTCCTCAGAACTAGATCCAGCTATGTGTCCTTGCTTATTGGAAAAGAAGCAGACATTCTCAAAATTATTACTGTCCCAGTATATTGGGGGAGGGGATGCAGAATAGTGTAAGAGAACAGAGGGGCCCATAAGAGCATGTCCAGTGATCTCTGAAGGTATAGCAGTTAAGAAGGCATACGGGATTCTTGCGTTTAGTAATTGAGGAATAGGATATAAGAGCTGAGAGGTTATGTTGGAACAGTGTAAAACATTAATTAGACCATAGCTGGAGGACTGCATTTAGTTCTGGCCACTGCTCTGTGGGAAAGACTTAATCGTACGAGAAATGGTAGGGAGAAAACTTTGAGGATGTTGCCTGGACTGGAAAGTGTTAGTTATGAGGAATGGTTAGATTGGCTGGAGCTGTATGGAACACAGGAGGATGAGAGGGAACCTAATTGAGGTCTGCAGACTTATGAGGGGTTCAGATAGTGGGAAGGAAAGCCCTATTTCCTTTGGCTGAGGGGGTCCATAACCAAGGCACGTTGGAACATAGAAAGTAGGAGCAGGAGTAGGCCATTCAGTCCATTGAGCCTGCCCCATCATTCAGCATGATATGGCTGATCCTCTAACTCAGTGCCATACTCCCACGCTGTCCCCATGCCCCTTTAGTTTTTAGAAATCTGTTTTCATCTTAAATATATTCAGTGACCTCACCTTCTGTGGTAGAGAATTCCACACATTCTGTGGTAGAGAATTCCACAGGTTTACCAGCCTCTGAGTGAAGACATTTCTACTCGTCTCAATCCCAAATGGCCTAGGGATTGTGAGATCCAATCCTGATTGTGACTCCTTGTTCTGGGCCCGTCAACCGGGGGAAATATCATCCCTGCATCCAGTCTGTCCAGCCCTGTCAGAATTTTATACATTTCAGTGAGATCTCTTCTTATTCTTCTGAACTCCAGTAATCACAAGCCCAGTCGTGCACAGTGCTCCAGATGTGGTCTTACCAAGGTCCTGTACAGCAGTTGAAAGACTTTCTCATTCCTACACTCAAACCCTTTTGCAATGAAAACCAAAATAGCATTAGCCTTCATAACTGCTTGCTCTCAGTGACTAGTGTACACCCAGGTTCCTTAGCACATGAACATTTCCCGATCACGCATAGAATTTTCATAGAATCCCCACAGTGTGGAAGTAGACCATTTGGCCCATCAAGTCCACACCGATCCTCCAAAGAGCATCCCACCCCTTACCCTATCCCTGCATTTCCCACCCTAGACACTACGGGCAATTTAGCATGGCCAATCCACCTAACCTGCACACCTTTGGGCTATGGGAGGAAACCGGAGCACCCGAAGGAAACCCACGCAGACACGGGGAGAATGTGCAAACTGCACACAGACAGTTGCCCGAGGGTGGAATCGAACCCAGGTTTCTGGCTATGTGAGACAGCAGTGCTAACCACTGAGCCACTGTGCTGCCTTTTAAATAATACTCTACCATTGTATGGACAACTTCACAGTCTTGTATTGCATCTGTCATGCATTTTCTCATGTGCTCAGTAATCCAAATCCCCCTGAAGCTGCCTCCCCAACTTTCTCAATTTCATCTAGTTTTGTACTCCAGCAGACTTGGAAACATTACAGTTGATTCCCTTTTTCCAAATTGTTGATAGATTTAAAGTAAGAGATTTAGAGGGGTTCATCTGAGAAATATTTTCACCCAGAGTGTTTTGACGATCTGGAACTCATTGCCTGAAAGAGTGGCAGGAACTGAAACCCTAGTAACATCTAAAAAGTTTTTGAGTTCCCTAGGTCAAAATCCTGGAACACCATCCCTGACAGTATTGGTGGAGTCCCTAATGGGCAAATGGACTGCAGTGGTTCAAAAAGGTAGCTCTTACTGCCACATTAGGAGCAATTAGGGATGGACAACAAATGCTGAACAAGCCAATAATGCCCATTTCCCTCAATGAATGAAAAAAAATTGAAGTACCATAAAATACAGGGCTGTGGACCAGGAACTGGAAAGTGGGATGAGGCTGGATGACTAATAGTTGATCAACATGAATATGATTGGCTGAATGGTTTCTTTCCTTGCTGTAAATATTGCACAGCAGAGAGAAATCAGAGTGAGAAAACAGAATAACTTTTATAATTATTAAAATAACTCACTAGTAATGTCTCCAATTTCCATCAGTAATTATTTAGTTCTGCAGAAGAAATGCAGGATGAAAGAGTTTACATGTAATATGGACATAGAGGTACACAGCATGGTAAAAGGCCCTTCAGCCTAACTCGTCCATGCTACGCAGGTTTCCTGAACTGAACTAGTCCCCATTGCCTACATTTGGCCCATATCCCTCTAAACCTTTCCTATCCATTTATCTGTACGAATGTCTTAAACATAGTTGTACCCATCTCTACCACTTTCTTTAGCAGCTTGTTCCATATACATATCACCCTAGTGAAAAAATTGCCCTTCAGGTCCCTTTTAAATCTTTCCCCTCTCAGCTTAAAATTATGCCCTGTAGTTTTGGACTCCCCTATCCTGGGGAAAAGACTTCGGCTATTCATCTTATCCATGCCCCTTGCGCTTTTATAAACCTCCTTCAGCTTCCTATACTCCTGGGAAAAATGTCCCAGCCTATCCAGCCTCTCTTTTAAATTCAAACCTTCCAGTCTCAATATTGCTCCCTTTCCAGTTTAATAACATACTTTCAATAGCAGGGTCCCCAGAATTGTGTGCAGTACTCCAGGTGTGGCCACACTAATGTCTTGTACAGCTGTAACATAATGTCCGAACTGTATTCAGTGTAGGAGTAAATTACTGCAGATACTGGAATCTGTATTGAAAACAAAATATGATGGAGATCGCAGCGGGTCAGGCAGCATCCTTGGAGAGAAAGCAACCTAACATTTCAAGTCTAGATGACTCTCTAGACTTGAAACGTTAGCTTGCTTTCTCTCCATGAATGTTTTTTTGTATTCAGTCCTGTATTCAGTGCTCTGACCAATGAAGGCAAGCATGCCAAATGTCTTCTTCACCACCCTGTCTATCTGTGATGCCACTTTCAAAGCACT